ATGTCTGAGTCTACCATCATCATATATGAATGCTTTCTTAACTACATCTTACGGGAGTATACAAAGCATATTTAAACCTACTCTTACTACCAGTATATATTATATCAAGTAATATTCTCCAACGGCACTAACAAGACATAGTATCATCCCAATTCGCGATACAAATAGAGTTGACCAAGCTTATATATCTGTATCTATATGCCTAGTAAATAATATGTATATGTATATGTGCTTAGGTATATATCGATCTCGTAGATAGTATTTCATTTTCTCTCTCATCTTTCTTTCTCCCTTCCATTCCATTCTTCCCACTTTCAAATAGGGTATCATCATCACCAGCCATACATACATACATGCACCTCGTAACCTATTCATACACGCGTGCACACGTTCCCGTCAAACAAGTAAGCCGACAACTCCGGCCTCGTATGCACATACCCCGTACCTCGTAACACATAAGAAATCCTCCCCCGTCTCGGGTCCAAAGCAGTCACCAGTCTGAGTAAACCATACGTCTCCCTTCATCCACTTATGCAGCACATCTCCTCTAGTAGCCAGCCCTCCTATTGGCAGCAGCAGGAGGAGAAACTGGCTTCCTAGCATACCCATTCAACATCCTAAAGCCCGCACCACACGTACGCCCCTCCTCAACAACCTCATACACACCATCAAGGCACTTCCCCGCCTCGCGCATTTCCGGCGCCTCGGTCGCAAGGAAGCCCAGGCGGCCTTCGGACGCCACCTTTTCCATCTCGCAGCGCAGCAGCCAGCGCTCCCACGCCCAGCTGCCCGCCAGTCCCGCGGTGGGGGCCGCCGCCTCCGTGCTGCCCGAGACCATAGCCTCGAGCTCGAGGGGGCGTTCGACGCCATTGCTATCGCGCGCGACTTTCCTGTTACGTCGGACGGCCGGATCCGCGCCCATCGGCAGACACACCCACGCACGACGCACCTGGTCGAAGCCGGCGCGGTGTAGGCGGCCGAGGAACATGCGCGTGGGGCTGGGGTCGTAACCGAGGGTCTTGAGGGCAAAGCCGAACTCGACGCTCTTGGCGAGCCCTAGAGGGCCAGCGTTTGTGATGTCCGAATCTAGGACGGAGAACTCAAGGTACCCGCCGGGCTTGAGAACGCGCATACACTCGGCCAGACAGCTATCCCACTCGTCCTCGCCGTTCTCACCGATGAACTTGAGGATAGAGTGCAGCTCACGCGCCGATACAAGGTCGAAGTGTGCGTCGGGGAACGGTAACTTGGCGAGCCGCGAGACGGCGACCTGGCGGTGGTTCGGCGGTCCCCGGATGTTGGAGTTGGACAGCTGGCGGATGGCCTTGGTAGTCACCGTGTAGACCTTGGTGTTCGGGTACATGATAGCGCAGTGCCAGGCCCAGTCGCAAGTAGCCTGGCCACCGAGGTCGAGGATGCGGGCACGATCCCTAGCGCCGCCGATACGGGAGAGACGAGCCAGACGCTTGGCGATAGGCGCGGAAAATAGACGGCCTCCGTTCAAAGCCTTAGTAGCGCCGACGTGCCAGTTTGCCATGGACATCTGGGCCCACGCCTCGTGTTCCTTGTCCATCTTGAGCTTCTCGGGGTCGTCGACGATAATATCATCGCCGCGGGCCACGTTGGCGCTCATGCGCTTCTTGGCCGAGTGTGGCACTACGGATAATTGGTACTTGCCGAGGAGCTGATTGCGGTGAACCTCGCGTAGGGAGATGCGTTGGGATTGGAGAGCCTCGAAACGTGGGAGACGGTGAACAAAAGGATCTTGACTGCGGGAGCGGATGATGTAATCCTGGAAAGCCCGGTAGTAGGCCGACTCCTGACGAGCGATCTTAGGCGGTAGAGGTTTTGGAATGTTAGTCTTGACGACAATCTCAGAGAAACGGACTGTCTTTTTCTTATGAGCCGGAGATGCCACCTCGGGTTCGGGTTCCTTCTTGGACTCCTCTTCAACGCGAGTAGATTCTACCTCCGTTGCTACCTCAGCCTCCGGCTTGAATTCTTCCTCTGGGAGGATGCCCTTGAGATAAGCCTTCTGAGCCATGAGCCATAATTCGGTCCGGTCTAGGTTGGACAAAGCTGCTTCTTGCTGCTTCTTGGCATATGCGGGATCGTAGGTTGCGACGATCTCCGTAGCGGTGACATCCTCGTTAGGGCTGGAGGGCTCGAGGTGAGCGGCAAGAGGAGATAAAGGGTCTCTTTGCTCAACGCGTCGCGCTGTAAGGACATCTTCGGCAAGATCAGCCCTAGCCTCGACAACGTGCTCCAAGATAACTGGTCTTGCAGTTGGAATGCCATCTGACATGGTACCCCTAATTTCTACAATCTGTTCCACCGGCACCGATAGAAGGGGTGCAACTGCAAACCTCTCAGGACGTGGAGGCGGAGGAGGTAGAGCAGTGGCAGTAGGCAGAGTTGGAACACGAGGAGCAGGCTCATTCCATGGCACTCTGTAGAACTGCTCCGCAGTAGTCGAGGTGGGTGGAGCAATGTCATCGGGTGTCATGGAGGGCAAATGCCAAGTGTGCCTTGTGGCGGGAGAAAGGTCAGAGAAAAAGCCTCCTGGCGAGGGAATATCAAGCCTCGTCAGCCCGTTGAGAGATTGCTGCTGTCGAGTCGAGAGGTGCAGAGCGGGCCGAGACATAGCTGTGAGTAGGCGCGGTGTCTGCTGTGACATTTCTGGTCTCCTCTCGGCGACCTCGATGACCTGCTCTGGGCGGTACTCGCCCTCGCCATCTTCGCTCCCAGATAGCGCTTGCAGGGTAGCCAAGGCAGCGGGTTGTAATTGAACACCAGACCAATCTGCGCTATTGATGTCGTCTTCTCCAATTACTGGCGTAGGCGGAGCGGAGAGAGCAGCCAACTGATCCGAACTTAGACTGCCATCGAGAGAAGGCGGTGCGGAGATAGTTGGCACCTCCTGAGATTGCTGAGCTTGCAGGTAGGACATGACGGCCGGCGACATCTCGACCTTGGGTGGTGGCGTCGGAGGTATTGGTGACAGGAACCTCTTGAACTCCAGCTTACCTGAGAAGTTCTTGACATCTTCGTCCTGCTGCGCCGGGATCACCAAGGGCGGAAGAGCCCGGTGCGAGACTGACGAGGGAACCGAGGATCGCTTCAGCATTGTGTTACGAGAGCTGTTTCGGCGCTTCACCGATGACATTCTCGAAGCTCGTCGAGTATCTTCTTCGTCGGAGACTTCGTAGATATCGTCAAACTCTGTAACATCAGTACTTATGCTAGCCCGGTTCCAGGGGTCCGAGGAAGATATTGATGGAGAGTTGCTCTCCTCTGCGGATGTAGTCGACGGAGATTCAGGCAGTATCGGGGCCGACAAGAAGTGAAAGCCTCGCGGAGTCGGAAAATGGTCACTTCGTGGTGATAGCCATTGTACTATCTTTTCGTTGGACGAACTGGCTTGGTTTTTACCCCGACCCCTCGACGTCCTCTTCTGTGACCCTTCCGAATCTTCCTCCATTATTGTATTAAGTGACCTCCCCGGTCTTCGTGCCAGCGAAGGGGAGGGGGGTTGTTGGTATGTGCTAGACGGTAAAAGCACTAGCTCAGGCATCTTGTGTTTAAAAAATAATACTAGTAAGATTCTTAAAAGGAAAAGAGATAGATGAAACTATATTGGGTTAAATGCAATAACCGTAAGATGTGTTGAAAAAATAACGAAATAACGCCCAGCGTTGTTGAAAGCGAAGTGTAACTTAATTAAAGAAATATACTTTAACGACAGGGACACTTCGATCAACGAAGCGATATAAAATGAGGCAACCTCAAGGAAGCTTGAGAAGAAGAGAATAAGAGAAACGAAGCCTACCAAATGTTTGGGCGAGAGTAGTTTTATGACTCTGACCTCGGAGATGGCCAAGCGGCTATGGTGTGGAGAGAGGCAGGATGAAGAAAGTGAGCGCTTCCAGCCCAGTGGTTTGTTATGCGGATGGACGGGTAACTGCCCATCACCTGCATAGCCTTGGAGTCTTAGTGCAGATTCGGCCAGACACACACGCCTTGGACCCCATTTGGGGCTTGTTTAGGTATGAATGTGTGGTAGCTATGTGGTAGCTGTGCCGAAAGAAGACTGGTGGTCTCGTTGGACGACGTCAATCTAGAGGTTGTATCGGTCGAACTGCCCACACCAACAACCAATCGGGACTAATAGACAAACGACTGGCGGTGATATAATTTTAGAACACCCAGCAACATAAGCCAATAGTCCGACTGGCGCGCGGGAGTGCAGGACGGAGAAAATCGTTGATTGGCAAGACACTGCGGACTTCCAGACCAATGGGGTAAAGGTTACGCTGACTGAGCGCTTAACCGCCCAGCGTCATTTGTGAGGTTCCGTGATTGGTCGAGCCGAGTTCGTCGTGAGATTGATGGTGCAGAAAAACCAAACTTCCAGAACCCAATAAATATAATGGCGGAAGTAAAAAGAACGTCATCTATACTACTAGACGGACTTATTCTACCCATCTAGCCGTCTTGTTTAAATAGCGGTAGGAGTTATTCGCGGCGAGCGGGTTGCTTAGTATTAAGAGATATAATCGACTGGTCTGAGTAGCTAGAATAGTCCTTTTGACCAATACCAATATCTTGTAAGCTTAATAGCCGTCTGAATTATTTCAAAAGCGACAAGTCGGACGACTGCGATATCATGAATGTGAAGTATAATATTAAGAAGACGCCATGTCGGCTCATGATACAGAGGAAGAAATGCCATAAGGCTTGATGGTAAGTGATGAGTGACATACATAAACCTACCTTAACCAAGTAAATCCAACTGTGGCGCCTACTCGACAAGATTACGTAAAGCTGTGGCTTGCAATAAAGTTCCCCTCAAATTTTCATTGGACGCAGCTACCAATCAATCGTAGGTAGTGTACTCTACCTACATAGATCTGCCCTCTGCGCTAGGTTAGTGCAATCAATACCAAGGTTAAACTCAGGAAACGGGCAGTCAATCAGCTGTTTCGCGCCGTGCTCGCGGCGAATTTATTTAACGAAAAAAAACGAAACGCATAAAACGCAAAACTACCTACCCCACCAACCCACCCACCCGGCCTACCATTACATAGTGTAGGTACCTACCTACCTATCGAAACGAACCCCGCGCTCCAGAATCAACAACCAGAAATCCGGTCCCCTTGTTTAAACCAAACAATAAAACAGAATCTCTTAGCCTACGGCCACGACGAAACATCTTGCGTCTCTCCTTTTTTCAACCTATCCCCCCCCTACTCCTCCTCCTCCTCCTCCCCAGTCGCCACCTATATACAAAATCCCTAGTTCAGGAATGGCAGACGTAGAACAGGCAGAAGGCCCCAGCGAGCCCCAGGGCCGCCACGTGATATACTGCGGCGGTAAGTCAAACAAGCAAAACAAGACGCAATACCCACCCGACTCACTAGGTCCCCAGAACCAGCTGTAAACTGACCCTGTCCTGCTGCTATTCTAGTCTGCACCTTACCGCCAGAGGTACGATATTCCCTATTCATAGACCAGCTCCGCGAATGGAATTCGATAAAATAGACGTCATAGAGAAGTGGGGGAAAAAGAAAGTGTACTGATCGTCGAACAAGTAGTACTGCGAATATGGCGGCACCGTCAAGAAATGCCAGGACTGGCTGCAGAAAGCCCACCCGAGCTTATACGAGCGTATATGGTCTCCAGGTACGCAGGACCTCCGAAACACCCCCCATTCCTATAGATAGATAGATACACTCTCTCCTAGGCTGGACAAACCCACTAACGCCAGCTCTCCCCCCCGTCCCGCAGAAGCCCTAGAAGCCGCCACGGCATCGCTCTCCGTCGAGGCACAGAAGCGCGCCGCCAAGGACGCGCAGAAGAAAGCCGCGCAGGCCGAGAAGGCGGAGCAGAAGCAAGCGGATAAGATCGCCAACAGCGTGATAACGATCAAGCGGGTCGAGCGCAACAAGCGCAAATTCGTAACCGCCGTGTCCGGGCTCGAGGCCTTTGGTCTCGACCTGAAGAAGGTCGCCAAGGAATTCGGCAAGAAATTCGCCACGGGCTCCTCCGTAACCAAGGTGCCTAGCGGTGGCGAGGAGATTGTCGTGCAGGGCGACGTATCGGACGAGATCGAGGAGTTCTTGCTAGAAAAATACAAGGACACCATCCCCGAAGACAACATCGAGCTCGTCGACGACAAGAAAAAGAAGGGCTCAACTGCCGCTACCGCCGGCTAGAAGCATATGGCCGTCTTGTCCAAGCTTACGAAGTAGGGGCGCAAGATGAAGAAGAAGAAGAAGAAGAAATCAAAGGGGACGAGATATTGGGAGGAAGATGGGGAAATCTTTTAGATAAAAACGCCAGCAAGGTTCTCATTGTGACCTGACTTGATCCATACCCCCCCTCCAGAACCATAACGCCGAGCGAGATGCAATTAACACATTATAGTCATTTAATATCTAAGCTCTCTTCCTTAACGTCCTCCCTGTCCCCGTTCCAGAGGCAGCGGCTTTTGTTGCCGGGGGCTTTTTGGTTGTGGCTGACTTTATTGTGCTCATGACTGTTTTCTTGCCCGCGGGGGCTGTCGTCTTAGCTACCCTCGAAGCGGTTGTCTTCTTGACTACCGACGTCGAACTGCCATTGCTCGACTCGCTTGTAGTGCTAGCCTTCCGCCTCCCTCGCGTAGACGCTGCAGTCGGGGGACGTGAAGGGACTGCGGCTTGTCGCGCACGTACGGATGCGTTGCCGTTAGCTGAGCTGGTCATAGACGAAGTGGTAGGTTTCCTTGTGCTTGTGATGGCGGGTCGCGATGCCTTCACCCTGTCTGCCATACTCGATATGATATTGGAAGAGGGCTTAGGCGGGGGTCCTTTCATAGGTGAAGCGGGCCTGCTAACTAGCGTCTTTATGGGAGATGCTGCCGGGCGAGCGCGGGGTACTATTCGCGTGTTTGAAGATGTGGGCGACAGGACCTGTCCCGGTTGGATTGCAGCGGGTTCCTTGCCCGGGATGCCGCGAGGCCTCTTCTTAAGATTCTGAACATCGTCGCCTTGGTTCTCCTTATCTAAACCTAGTATTTCCTCGCTAGACGGTGTTAGTTAGCTAGAGAGAATAAACAAATTAAGTTCCTACCTTAGGCCCTTTGCATTGGCTGCTGGAACTGGCTTTCGTGGGAGGGGCTTGGCTGACGCGCCATCCTTTGCAGGGACGGGTGGAGGTCTGGCTACATACGTTGACTTAGGTGGGCGAGGTGGTTGATGCGGCTGTAGTGATTTGGAGAGGAGCTCGCCCATCTTCAGTTTTCGTAAGGCGGTGGGTATTCGGTTAACGCGCATCTCGACGCGTGATCGTAGTTGTTGCGCCTGGATATTGTATTGAGCTCTTAGTCGTCTTGCACGTTCGGTAACTACGATAAAAATTAGTTAAAAATCGAGAAACTTGATTTATTTGGCTCGGCGGGCGCGTCCGTACTCTCTAATTGGAGGTTGTCGATGAGAGCTTGCTTCTGCGCAAGCGATAGGCCTAACTTCCGCTTCTTGATCGGACTTCGTTCGGGCGAACATCTTATCGTGTGTATCTTTTGGCCGTTAATTGAACCTGTTATAGCCTCAGATTTTCTTTTTCGCGTCGCTTTGACCGGTGCCATTTTGTGGAATATTTGTGTCGAGTATTTTTGATGCGGGTTTGGTGAGTAAAAAAATGCGGTAAAGTGTAAAATACGAATTTCTGGACGGACGCGTTGTTTCGTGTAGGGGTTTTTTGAATATGGGGTAGAATGGAGAGTACAAATGCAAGAATTCGGGTGTGTTGATGATGAAACCAATGCTTGTGCAAGTAAACAAAAGAGAGGGATGTGGGACATGCACTTGAGCGATGTGAGTGATGCAATTGGATAACCTGAAACGGTGGATTCGATTAAGTAAAAAAGCTGGCAAGCAACTGGAAGTGGAAGCAACTTGGTCTAAGCTCTTTCACTGTAGGTATTGTACCTTTGTACCCACCTAGGCTACACCTGCCTGACGTTTTGTTCTGAAGAGCTTATCCTCCGATTCCCGATTCCAGCACTGCAGTTACGAAGGTACCTCTTAGCTGTAACTTGCATTCATCAACTTTTCTAATCCGTCATCCAGCCTCGTTGACTTATCCTCTAATCGTCTAGATATCATAAGACAGGCCGGACCTCCATTATTTACACACACAACACCCTCGATCCCGGTTTATTATCACAATACCTCCAAAATGCCGTTGCAAGCTGTTATGATAGTCGTTGATAACAGCGAAAGCAGCCGCAATGGAGATTACCAGCCCTCCCGGTTCGATGCCCAGGCCGATGCGATAAATATTATGTTCGAGAGCATCACCCAGTCCAACCCCGAATCCTCCGTCGGCCTGATGAGCATGGGCGGCAAAGGACCCGAGGTTCTGTCTACGCTGACGACAGAACGGGGCAAGCTGCTCGAAGGTCTTCACCGGACGAAGAAGAAGATCTCGGGCTCGTCCCACCTTGCAACCGGCATCCAGATCGCTAGTGTATGTCAAACCTTCGTTTGCAACTGCAACGGACACATGTGCAGCATGATGAGATCTAAGCTAATGATTGGGTTCCTCCGCGACAGCTAGCATTGAAGCACCGACAAAACAAATCCCAACGCCAGCGCATCATCGTCTTCGTGTGCTCGCCCGTAGCCGACGACGAGAAAAAGCTCGTATCTCTCGCCAAGAAGATGAAGAAGGGCAACATCGACATTGACTTCGTTTTATTTGGCGACCTTGACGACGATGACGTACAGAAGAAGCTTGAGGCTTTCAACAATGCGGTTAAAACCAACGAGAACTCCCATCTTGTTGTTATCCCCCCCAGCGGCAAGCTTCTAAGCGACCAGCTGATAACTACTCCTATCTTGCTCGGAGAGGGAGCTGCTGGTGGTTCGGGTGGTATGGCCGAGGGTGGTGGCGACTTTGGTGATTTCGACTTCGACCCCAGCGCCGACCCTGAGCTGGCTCTTGCTCTACGCATGAGTATGGAAGAGGAGAATGCAAGGCAGGCCAAGCAGGCCAAGGATGAGGCAGATGCTGCGAACAAGACGAGTCTGGAGGGAATACAGGAAGAGAGTGAGAACCAGCCTCTACTAAACGAACACGGTGAGCCTAGCGGAAGCGGATCTGCCGACAAGAAGAGCTCTAAGAAAGACGACGACGACGACAAGATGGACACGTCATAGACGAAGACTTGTTTATCTACAGTCTGTCGAATTCTCGCCGGCGTGGGATCACGGAGTTGTTGGACTTGTACAATTAATAATAGACCAAAGGCCTGTAGCGATGAATTAGGCGGGGAATGACATTCCTGCCGCAATAACAAGGGCAGAGCGCATTTTCTATCAATCAAGTCCCGGGCCGTAATGAAATCCAAGTCTGTTTGTTAACTCCAAACGCCATGCCATGATGCAACTCTAGATAGCTAAGCCTTCCTAATTCCGCCCCCGTCAAGTCGTCAGACCCCCCTCTCCTCCTATGCCTAAAGGTGAGTCCGCAAGAGAAACCCGTGCAATACCTACCAGGTCAGTAAGCCTCTGCATTATCGGGAGTTGTTAATCTCCCTGATATACGAGTTCAGCTTCCTGTCGAAGGTTTCGCAGCGGATAGGCATTTCCAGCTGGTAGAAAGGGTTCTTCATGACGTAGTCGGAATACAAGTCGTAGATCTTGCGTATGGTGATGTCGACGTTGGTCTGCATCGTATCCGTGAACAGCAGAAACTTGGTGCCCGTCAACGTGTTGAAGCACTGCAGCCGGAAGTTCTCCGTCTCCATGACCTCGAGACCCGAGGGCGGATCCGGCCGGCTTGGTATCGGCACGCCTCCCGCGGTCAGCGCCGCTTGATGCTGGTGGTGTTGGGCATTCATTAGCCCTTTCAGCGGGTTGAGACGGGCTGTGATGGCGTGGACTCTGGCGATGGGGTGAGTTAGGTAAGTAAGTAAGTAAATCTGATTCTCATAGCTAGCTGGCTGCCTAAGGCATTGATTGCTAGATGCTGCTAATGAGATAGGGGAGGGCGTGTCTCACCCGTGGAAAGTGCCAGCAAGTACGAGGTAGTCATTCGTGTTCAGCTGGTTCAGGCCATCGCCAAAGGTGCGGTTGTAGATGAGACCGCCGGCCTTGTTGATGACGATGAGAGCTAGTACGCCCCTATATATGAGTTAGTAGTAGTTCCATATTTTATTTATGTTATTTTATTTTATTTCATGGTAGATTGGGGTCTGGTGCTTACATCGTATAGAGATAATTAATGAGGGTTTTGATTTATTCGGATTTTGTCCAAGGGGTTCGGGTTTGGTTTCTTTGCTCATATCTCGTTTAGAAAATACGCGTTCATAGCCTAGCCTTGGTATGAGATATCTCATAGCACACGATCACTTCCCCTACAGCTTTGACTAAGGCCTTAGTTGTTGAACGAAGTCAAAATAACCGAAGTTTCTCCTAAAAAGTCCCTGGTTGTAACCTGCACTGAGGTGAGATATCCTAAGTACTTAGGTACATACGTATCGATCTGACCTAGCGTGCTGGAACTAGACCGGATTTTCACAAGAAGCTTCCCCAAATTCTCCACAATTTAGCGGTCTTAGCACCTAACCTTGTTCATCACAGGCTACCTTCTACAGCGCCAGCCCAGAGCCGCATTATCTGACAGCTGACATTTCTTTCTTTGTCGCATATCCAATCGCATTACCATAATCGCCATACCATCTATCTATCTACCTCCTAACCTTTCAATTGACCGCGCCGGTCTGCGACATAGCAACAAAAAAATAAAAAATAAAAAATAAAAAGAATAATTACTAATTGCTTCCTTTTCCCTCTTCTTGCATCTATCTCTCCGCCGTCACCATCCATCCTATAAAGAAATAGTCCGGACAAGACAGACACGATGTCTCATCCTCCCACGTCGCGGTCCAGAGCACCACCCGCCGGCAACGAGGAGGCTACTACCGTCCTCAGGCTGGGCGAGTTCCAGGACGTCGACACCCTGACGCTATCCGAAGCATCTCTCGTCATCAACGCCCTGGTCGCCAAGCGACGCAACGACCGCAAGAATGTCAACGAGACGGAGTAAGAAGATTCTGTCCCCAATTCCTCTAGGCAATTTTATTTAGCTAGTTTCGGGCGACGAGGACAGGACTAACGTTTGTTCTATTCTTTTTTATATAGGATGTTGACAAAGACTATCGATTACCTGGATACCTTCGCCCGCTTCAAGAAGAAGGAGAACGTCGAGGCCGTGGAGCGATTGTTGAGCTCGCATAAGGAGTTCCACAAGTTTGAGCGCGCGCAATTAGGTACGGTTGTTTGGTTATAGAACCCGCGGTTCTATTGATAAAGCACCTAGGTGAAGGACAAAAAAAAGCTAATCTGGGGGGTCTACTCCTTTAGGGTCGCTTTGCTGCGAGACGGCCGAGGAGGCCAAATACTTAATCCCCTCGATCACCGATAAGATCTCCGACGAAGAGCTACAAGAGCTGCTCAACGAGATCTACAAGCTGATGCCGCGATGATACCGCTCCACAAACCCGTGATGCTCTGGCACAGCATCGTACCGTACCGTACCTCTTTCTTCTGTCTGTTCCTTATAACCGAACAGATCTACCGAAACCCGCAACAACCTCGACGCGAGGCATAATTCCAAGGCTGAGAAAGAAGCTGTGATAATGATGGATTCTAGAGCAACAACAAAGACCGATCGATTTCTTGTCAGTTGGGCGTTTTTTTTTTTTTTTTCATTTGAATTAGACCAGGGGAACTGGTGTTGCACTAAACGGCGTAGGATAAGGAAAAAAAGACTGGCAGGCTTTCTTGATTTCTGTCGTGTTCCATACCCCCCCACGAGATCGGAAGATACAGGCAAAGACTAAATAAATAGCATTCGGTTGGTTTTTGTTCATTCATGATTGTTATTCTCTGGAATATCTTTGGTATAACTAGTGTGATACGATACGTTCTACTTTTTTTGAATCTGTAGGGCTTTTTTATTAACGACGACTATAATAATAATGTCTAAGCCGACAAAGCTAACGTAGCGTTGGGAGGTAAGGTTGTTGTTTAGCATAGGTAGGTAGGTGATGATCTGTAGAAAGTAATCCACCGATAGAAAAAGGCTGGTAAAGTTAGGTTGATAATAAAAAAAGGAGGCTAGAATAACCCCCTATTCAAGTCTTCGGGAAATCCAGCACGATTAGTTTAACCGACCCCCTCCATCGTGGCCATCACCCAATATACAACAAATATACTACAGTTATCCAGCACAGAAACAAGGCCAGAACACTTCGAAATAAAACATCAACCCTACCAACCAATCCCATTCATATTATTAGGTATGCAGGTAATCGACCATCCCCTACGGCAACTCACTCACCCCCCTAAACACCCCCACCCCCATCCCCTGCCCCTGCGCCCTCCACGCCGGATGATCCATCATAAACCGTTCCGGCTCGTCCGCATACGGGGAATTCGGCAACGTCTCCGCGGCGACGCGCTTCGCGATGCGGCGGCGGCGGATGAGCAAGCCGGCGACGAGGAGCGCGGCCAGGGCGAATACGGTGCTGCTTATGCATATACCTGCTATGGCGGCTGTGGAGAGGGGAGGTGGTGGTGATGATGTTGTTGTGTTTGTTGTTGTTGTTGTTGTTGTTGTTTGCGGGAGGGTTGAGGGTGGGGGTGTTTGTGAGGTGGGAGAAGAAGAGGAGGCGGAGGAAGAGGATGGGGATGGGGATGGGGGTAGGAATGGCGGTAGTGGGGGTGGTGTGATTGCCCCTATAGCGGAATCTGACAATGACGACGATGTTGTTGTTGCTGTTGTAGATGGCTCTGGACTGTTATCGGGGGTAATATTCGGAGTAGTCGTGATATCCAGAGTAACCGTCTGCGTCTGCGTCTTAGTCCCACCATCCGGCGGCGAGGTAGTAGTACTCGCGATATTCTCTCCTCCTTCGGTATTCGACGGCAGAGCATCGTCGGGACATCCCCCCGGCTTACACGCCTCCACGGCGCAACATCCCACGAATCCGCCCTGGCAGCTGTAGAACACGAAGCCGGGGTCGCAGGTACCGGGCTCCTTTATATTAGAGCTTCGCTTTCTCTGTTCTTCGCGGTTCATTTTCATTTTCACCATCACCATGGGGCTGGCTGTAGAAGGCGATGATAGATAGAGTGTAGTTGCTCCTGTTGCTATGGTGGTGCTCACTAAGAGAACGTTAGGGTGTAGGTACCGTTTAAGGTGCTCGATAGTGCGGCGGCGACGACTCTATCCAGACATCCGTTCTGGGGGGTAGAGGGCATATCGTTTCGTATCGATATATGAGTGATAGACAAGGTGCCTGGTTAAGATGTAGATTAAGCAGGTATTTAATAAGCAAATACCTTGGGTAGTTATCGAGAAGATAAATAGAGTCTCATAGGGAGAGGATAAAAAACATTGGGAAGGATCTTACGATGAAAAGCAAGCCTAGAAATATATCCATAGTTTAGGTAAATAAATGTCCCTCAAGAACCCTAGTTTATAACCCCTTCGTGGTACCTATCAAGCAAGCCGATTAGATCTAGAAGTGTTTGCCTTGCTTTGCCTTGCCTTGCCCTGCCCTTAGATGAGATGTAGATATACATATTAGTTACACCCGCCGTTGCATCTAAGTACTAGGTTAGGTAGGTAGCTCGCCATATGGGAAAGGGGAATACCTACTATGTAGATATAAGAAGGTTGCCCATTATCTTCCGCCGTAACACGGGATTTCGACTATATCCTACATCCCATCCCACCCCATCCCATCTCCCTAACTTCCGAACGAACTAGCTCTTCGTATACTACGTTGCACAGACGCCTTATTCCCCGTACAACCAGCTACATAGTACGTAGCTATCCAGACTTTTCTTCTTTTCTTTTTTTTTCTTCTTCCAACAGTCTAAGTAACATGGATACCCTTCCCTCCCCTTCCACCACCCACCCCCTCGTGAACGCAAACAAGACAAAAGAAAAAGCTTCGGTAAGGGATTGACTAGTTAGAATATTTCGTTTGCTTCCGCTTTGACACCTAGTTAGTTAATATATATTAGAAACGCAAACCCTCCACCTGCCCTGCTCTGCTCAGCCCAGACGGAGAGCCGTATCTGGGATTAGGCAGCTAGACAGAAAAATACGGAAGTTTATTTGATATAAACCTGACTTTCGGTTTTATTCAGGGGTCGGTTAGAAAGATATAGCGGCGGAGTTTGCCGAGTTACGTGGATATATAAAGGAGCCTTTTAGTATGTTAGGTTAATACTTACCAAAATCTGCATCTGTTTTGGTGCTATTTTACTAGGTAGCCCTCTCGTAAAATATCTGTTACTTACGAGATGATATACGATGATGGAAATAGTGCAATATAATGTTTCTACGTTATGAAGTTGCGCGCCAGGAACCAGAATAATTGCACAATAATCATATGATAGTTTAATTTCTAGATGCTCCCAAGTTCTCATGGGTCGTCACGGATAGCTCAGTAAGGATTATCTCAAATCCGCACCTCGTCGTATGAAAACCGCTAGTCCCTGAAGCGAATATCATCATAAACGCATTACCTCACAATTCACATCATCGTAAAGTGTTCAAAGTTCAGAAACACAGTTGCTCAGTTTTCGGTTCCATTTTTTCGCAGCTATTTTGCTACGTGAGATGCAGATGAACCCCGGCGACTCCGTATTGAGACCCTAAAAGCAAAGAAACCATTTGTGTCCCGTCATGTCCGCCCGTTTAGACCTCTTCCGCGATGTTGCCCTTCTCGGATACGTACATGCCGTCCAAGAACTAGACGTTTGTTAGCGTGGGCCATATACTTACTAAGTAAAGATCAATTCAACATACCTTTCGGATATCCTTGTTTCGGACTCGGCAGATCTGTTGGATGTCGGCGGCGCTCTGGGAAACATCCTCGAGGGAGTTGCCTAGGAGGAGCAGCTCGTCCTTCTGGGCTGTGGAGATTTCGACATCGACACCGGGCTGCATGACGACTCTTCGGACGAGCTTCTCACCGATGAAGTTTCTATCGTTCACTATCAGCTACCCTATTTTCTCAAAAACCTGTCGAGAAAGTGTCTTCAAACAGTCTCCCCCTACGCGTTCGGATAGGCGCAAAACATACCGGATCTCGACCTCGAAGTTGCCAGTCTCGCTGTTCTTCTCGACGTTGACGTTGATGGGGAAATGGGCGTAGACGTAACGCATCTTGTACTTGAAGCCCTTGGTGACGCCGATGACCAGGTTGTTGATCAGGGTTCGGACGGTTCGGAGCGTGGCGACATCCTTTCGCGAGCCGTGGTGAATCTCAATGCCAATAACATTCTTCTTCGGTCGCGAGAAGTTAACCGCGATGTGGCTCAGGTCCTTGGAAAGCTTGCCTATTTCTCTCAGTTAGATTCCTTCGCGCCTCCGGAGTGTATATTCGCCATCGCTATGGCTGCAGATAGTATCGTACCTCGGGGGCCCTCGACTGTGACGTTGCGGGACTTGATTGTGACCTTGACTATTTCGCGAGTCGCATATTAGCATTCGTCTCATTGAATCGCAAAGTTCGAGATTCTCCAAGCAGCAAACAAACACCCAACCCAAAATTTCTTAATTCCTGGGCCGATGCTGCCAGCGCGAGCGAATCGGTTCGAAGACGTACCTCCCTCGGGAATCTCCAAGGTCTCGACGCTGTGGATGTATCGCATCTTGACGGTTCAGGTGAGGGTATAGCGGGGGGGAGAAATGGACCTGAAGAAATTGAAACCGTGAGTAAATTGCTAGATTCTAGACACCAGCAGATGCGATGCTGATTGATTAAAGGAAAAATGGAAAATAATTAATCGTGAAGGGTATCGGGCGCGGAGCTCTAACGTACCTGAATGTGATGTCGTCTTGGAACGGGGAAAAAAGTCTCCAGAGCCAAAGTCAAAAATTCAATCAATTGAGGAAATTCGTTGTGCGGCCAGTCGCTAAGCTTAGATTGGGGTAAGTGCCAGAATTTTAGTACAAGGTACTTTTGCTAAGTTCGTTCCATTAGGGCTACAGCAGCGGGGGCTACTTTGTGGCTTTTAGTTGTGGCTGTCGTGGCTTGATCTTTCTGTCTTTTTGAAATCAATGGGCCCACCCATCTAGGTCCACATGTACCTACAGACATCCACTGGAGGTCCACCGATTCCCCGGTGAGGCTGAAGCTGAAGCTCGAGCCACATGGATTTACTTTGAACGCCGCTGCATCTCTCTCCCTCTCGTGTCCCAATTGATTGATTGATTGACTGACGAATGAATGTGGGGCCGCAAGGCAGGAGAATACATAATAAGTTGCTTCAACAACTTGCAAAGCATACGACGACTACGACTTCCAACGGCCCCAATTCCTCCCCTTTTCGCACTCGAACCTCCCCCCGCGCCCAACAAACATGTCGTACTTCTTCGCCACGCCCGTCGACATCGATATAGTGCTCGAAGATAGCGATGACCGCCAAGTAGTGGACATACGGGAGAAGCAGCGCCGCGAGAAGGCGCCGCTGTACATGGACGGGGAGTCCGTCAAGGGCCAAGTCACGGTGCGCCCCAAGGACGGCAAGCGCCTGGAACACACCGGCATCAAGGTCCAGTTCATCGGCACCATAGAGATGTTCTTCGACCGCGGCAACCACTACGAGTTCCTCTCCCTGAACCAGGAGCTCGCCGCGCCGGGCGAGCTGCAGCACCCCCAGACCTTCGACTTCAACTTCAAAAACGTCGAGAAGCAGTACGAGTCCTACAACGGCATCAACGTCAAGCTGCGCTACTTCGTGCGCGTCACCGTCGCCCGCCGCATGGCCGACGTCATCCGCGAGAAGGACCTCTGGGTTTACAGCTACCGCGTGCCCCCCGAGATGAACTCCTCCATCAAGATGGACGTCGGCATCGAGGACTGCCTGCACATCGAGTTCGAATACTCCAAGTCCAAGTACCACCTTAAGGACGTTATTGTCGGCCGTATATACTTCCTCCTCGTCCGTCTCAAGATCAAGCACATGGAGCTCAGCATTATTCGAAGGGAGACTACCGGCGCCGCACCCAACCAGTACAACGAGAGCGAGACCCTTGTGCGCTTCGAGGTGAGTCCCCCCCCTTTTCCCTATCAACCCCCATACTCTTACGATAATACGCAGCCCACCCAGCATAAAAGCCAGCCAGCCAACTAACCAACCCCTCTCCCAGATAATGGACGGCTCCCCCTCCCGCGGCGAAACCATCCCCATCCGTCTATTCCTAGGCGGCTTCGACCTAACGCCCACCTTCCGGGACGTGAACAAGAAATTCTCCACGCGGTACTACCTAAGCCTAGTCCTCATCGACGAGGACGCGCGGCGCTACTTCAAGCAGTCGGAAATAATCCTATACCGACAAGCCCCCGGCGACGCCGTCGAGTCCCAAGGCGTCGTCTCCGTGCCCGAGTCCACGCGCCCCCCCATGCCTTTACCCGCCCAAGCGTAGCATAAAAACGGGGGGAGTCTTGTAATATTGTTGTTTTTTACTGCGTATCATCATCATTATTACGGTTATTTACAAGTTACTTGCCATGTCGTTGTCACGTTAGAAACTAATTCTCTGTACATTCTTATTACTACTACTACTACTGCTACTACTACTAACTCACCCCCCGCGAGGTCGAGCATTGACGGCACGGCGTTTAAGTGGTCTTTGGTCTTTGATAGTTGGCATCGTGCGATTGAGTCAGAAAGAGCCAAGGCGTTAATGTTGCTCATGAGGATTTTAATAGTTCAATCAATCAAATCAGTCAATTCATCCGTCAATCCATTACAATTCGCGTTTTACCTATTCCTGTCGCGAAGTTCTGTTGGGGGGGACGTGGGACCTGAGGTCTATATCTGAAAGCTCAGGAGGTATCATCTCGTAAAAACATCTTATGTTGTACATTTGCGCTCATTCCTTATTATCCTCATATCACAGGATCTCCATCTCGTCGTCCGCCGTGAACCCGAATTGATCGTTGTGGATAGCGGCAATACGGTCGAGCTCGTCCTGGTATTCCTTGCGGATGTCGGCTAACGTTACCACCTTGCGCTTAGAGAGGCTATCTCGTTCGCCGAGCTTAATCGGGCGCGGTGGCCCCTCAGTCGTGATCCATGCCTGCTTTGGATCCACGCAGCTTAGGACGTTGATCAGCATTAGATACTGCCTCGTCACTGCCGTATCTAGAATATCTTCACCCGTAACTTGATCGCCTTCCCCGAGCTGCCTAAGCTTCTGGATGCGATCAAGTAGGATTGCAGCAGCACCGCGGTAGTCGTTTCGCTTGATGCGCCAAGCATAGAGGATCTGGTGATATGGTACGCCGGTGATGACGTCTACCGTGTCTCGGCAGTGTTGCGCAAGTATGTCGTCGACGGCACTTTGTAGGCCCGGGAATGTAAGGTTGACTAGCTCTGAGTTGTGGAGGTTATCACACATCCTCTGGATAAGCGCCTGTAAGCATGAGTGCTGTAAAGCATGATCCTTTATCGCTACGATTGTTGAGTGTGCCAACTCAAATTGCGAAGTGGATAAAGCACCGCTAAAGAGCCGCAATTGTATCTCTGTTCGGACCTTGCCAGCATCTTCGGTGTTTGCGTTTACGAACTGAAGAGCGAGACGAGCAAAATCGATAACGAATGAATAAGCCTTCTGGTGTTCATAGAGAGCTACTATGTGAGCATAATATCGTGGTAATCCTGCAAACAGTAGGTTCCATTCCGTCTCGTCAAGGAGACCACTGCTGTGCCTTTCAGGGTTTGCCTGAGGTAGACCTATATAAACCATTAGTTAAGCTTCTTAAGTCCTATCGATGACTACTTACTCATGCCATACGCTGCTCTCTTAAAGTATGTGGCTGCAGTCGTAAAGTCTTTCAAGGCAAGATGTACACGCCCTTGCACATAAGTTGAGAAGGGGTCTTGCTCGCAGAATGGACTTAACTCGATAGCAAGATCCGCCCTATCTCTAATAAGCAGACCACACTGGATATATTGAGGCTGTAACTCCACGTTACTAGCGGGAGCACAGAGGTCTGCGGCGATGCGCGTGATTATCGAGGGTACTCCTCCTGAGGGTAATGATCCCGGTGCGGGTACTCCGAGAAGATGCCCTACGTTGCCCTCGAGCGCGGTGAGAGTTCTATATTCTTCAGCCTGTCGCTTCGGGGCTACGGGGGAAGTGTCAGAGATGGAGTTCGATCTGTCTGCTCTCGCGAGTGATGTTGTCAGCTGGGTATTGACGAGCCATCGAAGGAGTTCGAGTCGTTTAAGTATAATGAGCAAGTTTCTGTATATTACACCAACTTCAACGTGGTTGTGGAGAGCATCTTCAGGACGATCGAATTCGAATTCCATGTGGACGAGGAGGATCAGTTGGCTAAAGCTGACGTTCCATTGCACCTCGACTAGGTCTTGAGTTGCTTTAACGACGACTTTTCTTCCAAACTCCGTTAGGGGAAGCTCAGTGGGATGCGGAGAATTCCAATATTCGTTACACGTCGCAAGCACTCTATCACATAGTTGCGTTGTTACTACGTTGAAGTTTGGACCAAGCGCATCAGTCACCTGGGCGGCATCTTCGTCGGAGATTTGGCGCCAGAATCCTGTCTTGTCCGAAACGAACTGGAGTCGTTCTTGGTCTGATTTGGACGACTCTTCTAGCATCTCTGGGCGGATAACAGAATGGCATATCTGCAACATGCTGTCCGAGAAACTCTCGATGAAATTGGTACCAGTGATGACAAGAGTTGGAACATCATTCGACCCTTCATACTCTGCTTGTGGGTTATGACAGATATGCTCCAGCTTGCTGCATTCTCTGATAGCAGAGATACTATCGGCGCATACTACCCACGGCATTCCTGACTCCCCATCGTAAGAAAGTGATAAGGCTTCACCTCTAGGTTTGTCTAGCTCGAGTAAAATTCTGTAGAATTTCCGCCACTGCATCTCACTCGAAGTCCTAAACTGTTCATGATCCATGTCACCTGATGATGACCTATTAAGGGATGAGGTTGAGGCGATGGCGGAGCAAATTGACTCGGCGAGGCCTATGCCATTGCGAGACGCGACGTTACTCTGTCTTCCAATCGCTCCCTCGTAAGCGCTGAGTGCAGCCTCCACAGTTGCCCTGGGGAATCTTCCGGGGAAGAATATTAGCTGTAGCCATTTTTCTGTAGGGTCTGTAGGATCAGATGGGCCAGATAGGGGTGCGGTCGGTATGGCGGTATCAGCGTACACGGATCGCCAACGGTCCTGCCAGACTGAGACGAGTTCATCTATTAAGAATGTCAACTCCTGAACTCGGTACGCCATATTATTCTTCCATAAAAGCCACATCCTGTATACTCCAGATGACGAATGTTCCGCCACACTGAAATCTGCGAGAGTCCAGACATCCGAGCCAAGAGGAGGATTAGGCACCAATTCGTAGCCAGGATAGAGATCATCCGCATCAACGGAGTTGGCATTATCGGACCTTAGCATCCAAAACTTAAACTCCCCAGGACCTACGGGAGAATATGTTACGAGCAGACGTTTGCCCTCGGTGGTGCCTACGATACGGATTAAGTTGGCCTGCGTCGCATCTATCTGCCACTTCCCCGTCTCCTGGGGATCTCTGTCGGAGTTGAGTAAGTCTACAGCTCCAAGGATCTGTCCGCTATTAAGATTCCAAATTCGTAATCGATGGTCGAGGCAGACTGTGAAGAGGAACGAGGCACTGTTAAGCCCTAGATCCGTGTGAACTGCAGCTGCCGCAGCTTTGATGTCCAGATCTCCGCGGCCTCCCAACAAACTTCGTAACCAACCCTTCGCATTATAAAATGTCTCTTTCCAGGGCGAGTGAATAGCTAGAAACAATGTTAAGTATACAACTTGCAAACAAAACGGGTATCAAACAAACCATTATGTCCCGTATTCCTATCAAAACGTATATGACCGCCATCGGAAAGAGTTGCGACTAGTTGGTCATTATCGACAGCAACAAGTCTGTATGGATGCTTGAAGTTGCGGAACGCATTGGGCTGGTAAATCTTGCAGGCGTCTCCAAGTCCTGTTTCGACAAACGAACGCTTACGGAAAGAGTCCGGCCTCAAGAAGAGAGTATATAGCTGACCGGCAGTATCGAGGACGAAGATACTAAGCGCATCGTGGTCTGGAGGATCGCAAAGGGCAACGCAGCTAGGTATAATAGGGTGCTGGAAGTGGAAGTTGAGGATGAGGTTTGCGTCGGCAGCCTTCTTCGGCTTATAGAGATCGACGGTTCGTATGCTCAAAACGGTATCGCCTTCAAGGACTCGCCAAAGAAATCCCTTGGGAGAGCTATGGTGTTTTCGGTAGTATATGGCAGAGGTGGTAGCTCGAGAAGCATCGTTCTTAGCGATTGCTTTGGCTGATCTGCTGGCACGCTGGCTCCGTCCCTGGGAACTCGTGGTAGGGAGCTCGACATCAACAATGTACGAGCTTGATGATGGCTCCAAGTTCAGGCGCGTTTCCTTGTAGGAATACACAGCGGCCGCCATGCTGAATGCGACGCCCTCGGGAGGAAAATTGATGTCGTCAAGATAAGAATGTTTGTGAATGACGCGCGCAACGGGGAATTCAGAGCTTCAAAACAACTTGGAAGAAGTTACTGGCCGAACCGAGCTTATCGATAAGTTGGTGGTTGCTGAGAGCTACGAAAAGTAAAAGTACTTCGTACCCAAGGTAACAGCCTTAAGTTCCTGTGGGGGCCGCCTGCCTGCAGTAAATAGTGGGTACATACCAACTAAAACCAACTAAATCCGAGTTAAATTGACAAATTACTCACGTGCTTCCGCGATTTCAATTTGTTTTCTCGCCACATTTCGCGTTTGACGCGTTTATAAAGTCTCAGACCAAGTCTATACGCATTTATTCTCTCTTACCCTTGTCTTTAAGCTCTATTCGGACAGGTTAAACGCTATAATTCGAAAATATGGCAGAGGAATACGAGGAGGCAGCGGAGGAGAGCGGCGTGACTGGCCCTGGAGCCCCAACGCCTATCTTTGCTTTGGAGGTGAGATGCGGCCCGTTCCAAGAGACGCAGTATTCGATTTGTACTTATATTGACTGACATTACAATAGGGCCTGTCGGGTCTGACAAAACGTGACTGTCAGCTTTTGGCTGATGGCGGCTATCAAACTGTCGAAGCAGTCGCTTACACACCAAGACGTACCTTAGAG